GCCTAGTCTGTAGATAAGTCATCTATCCTATTCCCTGAAAAATTTCCTTAACCATGCCTAGAGTATTCAAAGATTCACTGCAATCAAAATCGATTCCCCTGAAACGAAGATGTAGTCTGCCGGTTGCATCTTCATTCTCCCCAACCGAAAACGGACTCTGGGGGCAGCACTCCAGGTCCCAGTACAATAGGAAGTTTGAAGCCCCCACCTCCCGCCGTGCAAGTGTCCCAAAACGAAAGTGCAACGGGAAACAAAAGGAAACAGAATTTAACCAGCTTTTTGTACTCCAGAAAGCTATTTTTTGGAACACTGACCATTGAAAATAGTGGAACTCCTCTACAGTATCCTCACAAGCGGTAGATGCTTCCACACACTTACACCACGGGCCTGCTGGCATCCGCATGGCCTTATTCAACTCTGATGACGACGTCTTATTATAGAACCACTACATCAGGCACATCCAGCCTTAGATGGTCACTCCCGTTCGATAAAATAGCCAGCCTCCACCCACACTGCAGCCAAGAGGCTCTCCTTCCTAAGCATCATGCGCTTGACAGCCTCTGAAGTAAGGGCCGGTATACTAACCTGGGTGAATATTTCTGTCTTCATTGTACCTGCTGACGACTATTTTCTGGACAGACCTTTAGACTTCCGATTCGCTAACGCGCAGTTTTGTAGAAAAAAAGCATCCAATTTTCTTCTGGTGTTTTCCTTCAACCAGTCTAAATATGCGTTGGTGGTTTACCCATCCTGTTTTACACTACCATCGGAGTCCTCCGATGATCAACATACAATACTACATACCTAACTGCGGGCTTCGTACCATACTGCTACTTGTTGGAGTTAGTTTACGTTGATGACCGAAAGTTAGGGTGCATTGGTACTCCCAATTTTTTACTTTGCAACGATAGCAATCTCCAGGGCTATTGACTCAGACCGATCTTGCAGAAGTGACAAGTAACCCTTGGTGAATAACTCTCGTTCAATTTGTCAAAAGTGCCCAGATTCCGCTAACAGGCTGAATTTTGCAAAGTTTCGATGTGCTCAGTACGCCTGCACATATTTTACTAATAGCTCACTCGTTGACTTCGTTCAGAAAGCAGGGATTACAATGAATCAGTGTGCCACCGGCAAACTTCGTCGTGTGTAGTAATAACCCTATTCTATCGTGACGGAGGGGGCGAATAAATTCCATGGTATAAATGAGTCATTAGGACCAACTTTTTTAGGTTAAATCATTTCGCTGCGAAGAACTTGGGTTCTTTCTTTTCCTTAAACCTGGCGTCCAGTGAATTAAACTTTAGCCCTTCAAATCTTGAGCACTAAGGGTGGTGCTATAGCCATTAAGGATGCAGCACAACTTGATAAAATGTAAAGCCTACATACTGACAAGCATTTTTTGCACGGTTTGGAAGGTGTTAATACCTAACTTCAATGCGGGTATGTCTAGTGAACTACCACAAGTCACCAGATGGGTAATATTGGCCCACTTGTCTACTCCATTGGATGAAACTGAATTATGTATGTAACATCCGCAATACGGACCGCCGTTCCAAGCTCAATACTCTTGGGTGGCGCTCAGTATTCGCACAATGGAATTGAATTTTCGAAAGTTATGGTGGGTCCCTGATGGGCTTAAGCAATCATGAAATTGAGTTTAGAGTACCAGTCCAAACTTTCAAGCTCTATATAGGCATCCCGGGGTCTCAGAGATGCCGGAAAGTTATCCCGCCGGACTTTTCACCCAGAGGCATAGTTGCTCCAGTGAACAATGCAATTTAGTGAGCTGCACAAACATGGGCGTAGAATAGGACGATTTTTTTATCTGAGCACATACGCGACAAGTTGCAACATTTTGGCGTAGAAAGTTTTACTCCACTCTAAAAGGTGTTGCAGCTGAGAGCATTGTGCGCAAATTAGCCACCACCTTCAGTATCACCGAGTACCGTGAATATAGGCTCATAGGCAGCGTGACCAACCCACTATTCATTTGTACGTGTATTCTTTCCCTCATTGGCATGGGGTGTCGTTAAGAGGAGCTCAGTATTCGTACAGTGGAATTGAAATTTCGAAAGCTATGACGTGCTTAAGGGGAGCTCAGTATTCGTACAGTGGAACTGAAATTTCGAAAGCTATGGCGTGTCCCAAACGGGCTAAAACAGACAAACATTGAGTCCAGAGTACCAGGCTAAACGTTTGAGCCGCATATAGGAACTTCACCACTTCACTTGTGCCTTTCAGGTGAACGACAGCCACTGACCGACAAGAACAAAACCGACCCGGGAGACTTGGGAAAAAGCCTCGATCCTGTGTATCAATCAGTGAATCCCTGAATCCGTGAATCATTGCTTCAGCGGAAGATGAAATTTGCCGCGCTGCAAAAAAATGAACGTAGATCAAAGTGACCCTTCGTTTGAGCATATATGCAAGGGGGTGCAACATTTCGGGGCAAAAGGTTTATTCCGCCCGCAATGGTTGTGCAACTAAGAGCACTGTTTGACAAAGGAGCCCCTCATTAAGGCCCGGTGAGCACCAAGCGCTTGTGTTTTTATGGATACGGCAGATCACTGGAAAAGAACCGAAATTAATTTTCCGTTAAATTACGGGGCTTTTGAGGTTGAAAATTCCACAAGGAGATAGCCTATTCCAACTTCAAATTTCAAGGATGCTTTCGTCATTGCATTTTGTTTAATAAAGCAAACTTTCAAGGCCACCGAGCACCGCCGATCCGCATGTTATTATCAGTTTCCGAGATGAAGCACGAAAATAAAATCGTAGCATATTTTAACGGTCCGTAGCGCTATCCAATGGTGAACAATATTAACGACATTCTTAACGTGAATTGAACCCTGATACATACTTGAATAACGCTTGGATCCATTAGATTCGTCAGACGTAGCAATCTACATGAGTACGTTCCGTGAATTTTAACAAAATACTGTTGTTTGAAGGGCTCACCTCGCATGTAGTATAACGCAGGATTCCCAAGAATATCACTATCTCCACCAACTGATTTTTTCGTTCCTGACCGGATAGGCCACTCATCGTAAAGTTTACGCTACTATGAAAGCTTTCAGTAGTACACATTCATCGAAGAAAAATGCTAGTTCTCCCATTTCATTGGTTGAGGTGTTCCATAAAATAGGCTGCGCAGCGCGGCGAGGCACACGCGTCATGGCTTCCTCGTCGCAGTCTGTCGTTGCAACTGCTCCCGTGTCTGCTGAAGGGTACACAGTGGACGTCACCCTCTTGTTCGCGAGTCACCTGGGTAGCCGCCTATTCCGCAACGTTCATGAATCGGTGCACTGCATTAAGCAGTTCGAGCGAATATCAGGATCGTACTACAGCGTGCGAACCTCGAAAGCGAATTGCTCTGGTGAGAAAACTTTCATCAAATACCAATGCCACCGGAAAGGGTTTGCACGTCCTCCAAACGAGGGAAAACGACGCCGGCTGCTTGATCACACACAATGCGAGGCGTTCTTCAACGTTGGCAGACTGGGAACCTTCTTTCGGGTTACTAAATCTCATATGGTACACAATCACGAATCCAAATATATAAACGTGGATAACCACAACTTAGAAGATGTATATTCCCTACTTGAAAACATGACGTTACTTAGCTGGACCACGTCATAAAGCGTACCGTCTACCGTAAAAAAGGCCAAACATTGATCTTCATCAAAATAGCTGTAGGCGTTTTCACATACCTTGCCTACCTATAGTAACTATTAGGCCATATCTTATTCGTACCCCTGATTAAAGCCTCATTTATGCATAATCCAACGGCAAAATACGTCCCTACATCCCAAAACGGCAATGTCGTTTCATTTTCTGACATAATTCAAATGAGTGGAGCTTCGTACCCCTAAGCCTCATTTATGCATAATCCAACGGCAAAATACGTCCCTACATCCCAAAACGGCAATGTCGTTTCATTTTCTGACATAACATAAATGAGTGGAGCTGTAGTGGTCTGGCTACCCAATAAGTCAGTTTACCAGGAGTGTGTGGCAAAGTAATAAAAATAATTACGCTAAGTTGGGTATACAAAAATAAATAGGTCAGATGGAACAAACTCACTAACAATTGTTCTCTTTAAAATAGTTCGTCGTTGGCCCAGGTCAGCGAATAAACAATAATCCAATAGTGTTGGTCCAGAGGTCTTCTTCT